GTGGGCAATCACCTGGTATCTGGAACTGTTGGAAAAAGTCTTCAAATCTGAATTAAGACTCAGAGACTTTGGAGGGTTCTGACTTGCTTATTTTAATAGTCAGGCAGGAATTGTTGGATTAAAAGCTGCTCTGACTCCTGGCTAATGATAAAACTGACACCTTCAATTGATGCACTGACTACCCCCTAAATGCTCATACAGACCTTCAACAGAATGCCTCCCCCAAGACAATTCCCCAACATATACCTAACTGACTGTCTCGCATGCCTGACACCCAAGCCCCAAACAACTGCCCTTACCTTTCACCGACTTACCTGCTACCTGTACCCTGTGACCTACCTGAAAATGCAACTCCTTGTCCTCCTAGAACCATCTCCCTTTACTCACTGGCAGTCTTCCCCCTCACCCTTTTGGCAGCCTGCACATTCACCCACCTGGCATTCTACCCTTTGAACATTTGGTACCCTATTCCCTTCACCCAATACCCTACCTTCTCACCCAGCTGCCACCCTCCCAAAGGACAGCTCCTCATCCAATTACCTTTCACACTACTCTTCTCTCTGTAGCTGTCAAAGTGGCTTTGGGACCTTTAAACAATTTAATTAATGGAATACAGCAGCTGAGGTATGGTTAATAGGTTTGCAGATGATACCAAAATAGGTGGTGTCGTCGACAGTGAAGATTATTTCAGAGTACAACAGGACCTTGATCAGGTGGGCCAATGTGCCAAGACAGATGGAGGTTAATTTAGATAAATGTGATGTGTTGCGTTTTGGTAAGGCAGTACTTAAACAGTAAATGGTGGAGCCCTGGGGAGTGTTGCTGAACAAAGAGACCCAGGGGTGCAGGAGCACAATTCCTTGAAAGTGTAGTTGCAGGTAGACATGGTGGTGAAGGAGGCGGTGACTATGGGACGTCATGTTGCAGCTGTACAAGTTATTGGTGAGGCTACTTTTAGATTACTGCATACAATTCTGGTTGCTGTTCTATAGGAAAGATCTTGTTAAACTTGAGAGGGTGTAGAAAAGATTTACAAGGATTCTGCCAGAACTGGAGGGGTTGAGTTATAGAGAGGCTGAATAGGCTGGGGCATTTTCCCTGGTGCATCGGAGGCTGAGGGGTGACCTTATTGAGGTTTATAAAATCATGAGGGGCATGGATAGGGTGAATAGCCAAAGTCTTTTTCTGAGGGTGGGGAGTCCAAAATTAGAGGGCATTGGTTTAAGGTGAGAGGGAAAAGATTTAAAAACGACCTGAGGAGTATCTTTTTCTCGCAGAGGGTGGTGCATGTATGGAATGCCTCAGGGATCAGTGTTGGGACTGCAATTGTTTACAATTTACACAGATGATTTGGAGTTGGGGACTAAGTGTGGTATATCAAAATTTGCAGATGACACTAAGATGAGTGGTAGAGCAAAGTGTGCAGAAGACACTGAAAGTCTGCAGAGTGATATAGATAGTCTAAGTGAGTGGGCAAACGTCTGGCAGATGTAGTATGTTGATAAGTGTGAGGTCATCCATTTTGGTAGGAATAACAGCAAAATGGACTATGTTTTAATGGTAAAAAAATGCAGCACGCTGCTGTGCAGAAAGACTTGGTTGTCCTTGTGCACGAATCGCTAAAAGTAGGATTGCAGGTGCAGCAGGTAATTAAAAAGGCAAATGGAATTTTGTCTGTCATTGCTAGAGGGATGGAGTTTAAAAACAGGGAGGCTATGCTGCAGCTGTGTAGGGTCCTGGTGAGGCCACACCTGGAGTACTGTGTGCAGTTTTGGTCTCCTTACTTGAGAAGAGATATACTAGCACTGGAGGGGGTGCAGAGGAGATTCACTCGGTTGATTCCAGAGTTGAGAGGGTTGGATTATGAGGAGACACTGAGCAGTCTGGGATTATACTCATTGGAATTCAGAAGAATGAGGGGAGATCTTATAGAAACATATAAGATTATGAAGGGAATAGATAAAGTGGAGGCAGGGAGGTTGTTTCCGCTAGCAGGTGAAACTAGGACTAGAGGGCATTGCCACAAAATAAAGGGAATCAGATGTAGGACTGAGGTCAGGAGGAACTTCTTCACCCAAAAGGTTGTGAATCTGTGAAATTCCCTGCCCAGTGAAGCGGTTGAAGCTACCTCACTGAATGTTTTTAAGGCAAGGCTAGATAAATTTTTGAACAGTAAAGGAATTAAGGGATATAGTGAGTGGGCGGGTAAGTGGAGCTGAGTCTCAAAAAGATCAGCCATGATCTTATTAAATGGCGGGGCAGGCTCGAGGGGCCAGATGGCCTACTCCTGCTCCTAGTTCGTATGTTCTTATGTTCTTATATTCTTATGTATGGAATGAGCTGCCAGAGGAAGTAATGGAAGGAGCATCTAAATGGGTATATGAATAGGAAGAGTTTAAAGGGCTACGGACCAAATGCTGGCAAATGAGAATAAGTAAAATTGGGATATCTGGTTGGCGTGGACGAGTTGGACCAAAGGGTATGTTTCCGTGCTGTATACGTCTATAACTCTATAGTTATAAAAAGGGGGTACATCTTTGTCCCTGATGTAGATCCTGTGAATTCCTAGCCAGTTTTCTATGATGAAGGCATTCAGGACAGGTCAGAGTCTGAGATCTGACTGTACAATTTGCTGACAGGTAAGTGGGCAATCTTTAATGGTGATTACTGCCAGTCAGATCTGATCCTCATTGTGCTATTAACCCAAGAATGACTGTATCTATAACATTCATTACTGAAATAGGCAGTCTCTTGACTTGTTACATGAGAGTTTTGATTTTTAACCTCCCCATCCTCAAAATTATCCCTGACCTTCCTTTTTGTTTCAACTGACCCTCCCCACTTTCTTATTACCCTAGAATGCTTTTTTTTATTTCAATTTCCACCTTCTTCATTTCTAAACAGGAGTAATATTGGACTCAAAATGTCAAGTCTGTTTTTCTCTAACTAAATTCTGCCAGACCTGCAGAGCGTTTCCACCATATTTTCTTCTTCCTGATCAGCCTTTCGATTGCTCTGACTTGCTTGTTCAATTCCAACACCTTTGCCTTGTGAATCTGAAAATTTTTGCAAACACCTCCAGAAACATTCAAAACAGTACTTCTGTTCACTATGCAGTGGCAAAAACAAGTGTCAAAATTATTTTATCTGAAAGTCCCATGGTGAGGTCTTTAAATACCATCCACAAGGTCCAAAATAGCAGGTAGAGAATCAAAATAGCCTTGGGTGCCATTTGATGTCAACGTTCCCACTTTTGCTTGCTCCCGGCTAGTGTACAGAAGGCTGAGCGAACACTTTCACAGTCAAGGCTTTCCACTGAATCTAGCTGTAAACAAGGTGAGTTACATTTTTGGCATTTGAAATTTCCACAGCACCCACATGAGTAATGCCAGTGAGTTAAAGCATGCAGCTTAAGGACTTGTTTCAGAAATATAGCTGTTTGGAACATTAAAACCTACAATTAACGTTGATGTGACATTATGATCCCAACAAAAGAATCTATCGGCATCATAATGTTACATCGGCTCAATCATTTTATTACACAGGAATTGTTCAGATAGGACCCACGGAGTTTCCCTTGACATTGCTGACAAACTAAGAAATAATGTTTCACAGTATTCTGTACTTGTAAATCTGCAAGGAGGGTGAAAGAGATATAAGAGAGAAGTATTTTGGGGATTGTGACAATGCAGTGATGTTTTAGCAAGCTCAAATGTTAATTCATCTTCATGTCTGAAAGGGATCTTTTGTTTCCAATGACAGTTTGGTTGCTGCAATTTTATGACAACAACAAAAATAAGTACACTATTTAATCCTGTTTCTGTAATGATTAATGGTCTTGGAACAATAATAAAGCTCTGTATATTCACTGTGGTAGTTTTGTTGATTTCTGGGTTTATTTTAAACCTTGGTTTTGCTGCTTACTGTTTGTTGGATGCTCAGCTGTCATCTGTTCTATTGGAAGCTGCTAAGGTCTAGATCTGTAGTTTTGTAGTATCATTAAGTCTTTTGAGAAAGACGAGGCTGTGTTCACCTATTTGTTTGAAAAAAGATTTTTCTATATTCCTTACCCTTCATTTTCAGCTGCTTTAAAGTTCTTAGATGGTTTCTGATTTGAAGATTCCTGCCTCATGCATTCTCATGGCTATCCCACCTCTCATCTGAAGCTTAGTATGCAGGTATAGCAAGTAATCAGGAAAGTTACAGAATAATGTGATTTATTGGGATGGAAATTGAGTGCAAGTGTAGGGAGGTTATGCAGGGCATTTGAGAGAATGTATCTGGACCTCTGTGTACAGTACTGGTCATCTTACTTACAGAAGGATTTTGATACATTGTAAGCAGTTCAGAGAAGGTTTACCGGACTAATACCTGAATGAGCAGATGGCCTTATGGCAAAAGGCTAGACAGTTAGGCCTGTATCCTTTGAAGTTTAGAAGAGTGAGAGATGACTTCTTTGAAACATATAAGATCTTGAGGGGATTTGATCTGGTGGATGTGGAAAGGATATTTTCTCTTGCGGGAGAATCTAGGACCAGAGGTCATCCATTTAGGACAGGAATGAAGGGAAAGAAAAACAGTTCTCTTTGGAATTCTCTTCCTCAAAAGTCAGTGAATGCTGAATCTTTAAATATTTTTAAGGCAGAGACCGATGTTAGTTGCCAAGGGGATGAAAGATTATCATGGGTATGTAGGAACAGAGAGTTGTGGTTAAAATTAGATCAGCTGTGATCTTATTGAAAATTGGAGCAGGCTCAAAGAATGGAGTTGCTTGCTCTAGGCCCTTGTTCGTATGGTAAGTACATACTGGAAATTTGGCTCATACATTGTGTTAAGCTTCACAGTTTTCAGTTCAATTATATTGCTGTAGATTGGTTTCAATGGACTAGTTTAAGTATAAACATTGTTGCCAAGAGATTGGGGAATACTAAAAAGTACCTTCTATAAACCACGTGGTTTATGCTACGTGGCTTTAACCGATATTTAGAGCGGAAATTTAGCTAACCGTGTTTTTGAAATGTATTAACAGAATTAAAAGCATTGAGAATGGCTGCTCAAAAAATCCAGCTTCTTCACATTTTTCTATTTTCGATGATTTCAGGAGTGAAGACAGGTAGGAAATCTTTTCTTCAGGATTTTCTGTGAAATCTTCCTAACAGCCATACATCAATTCAAATGTTAATGTTTCTTCAATACGTAAAGAATATTCGAGATCTCTTTTATAAAGTATATCAGGGTCAAATGATTTGATGTGTTCACTGATTTTAAAGTCTCTTCCTAAATCTCTCTGCCACTTCTCACCTCAGTTTTCAAATTTTCCTTAAAATATCTCTTTAGCTAAGTTCTTGATTATTTTTCCTATGCTTTGCTCTTTGATATGATATTGAATTCCTTCACCCCTCTCAGAAGCGCTTTGGAACACGTTTCTAGGTTAAAAGCAATTCATAGAAAAGTAAGGAATTCTTCTAGTATGCAATTAAGTGATAACTTAAACACGCTTAAAGCTTAGAATGATTAATTAAAAAAGATTTCAACATTATAATAATTATTTACATCCAAAATGTGTAATATAATTACAGAACTTGCTAGGACATCATTTAACAGCATTGAATTCAGCATGCATTCATTAGCCAGGGTTCAGAGAAGAGCTTTTGAAACGCTCTGACTCTATTTCAAACTGCAATTGATGATTTACTGAAATTATGTGCAGTTATTATGAATTGTTTCAAGTGAAACTAAATTGATCATCTAATACTCAGAATCATTTGATCTCAGACAGGCATTCGTGGATTAAAATGTTTTCAATATTTAACTTCATAACTATTTTACGAAGTATTTGGATCTTGGTGATAATTTTTGGAAAGTACATATGAATGTGATGTGTATTCCTAAAAATTATTGCTGCATCTCTTCAAAATACAATTAGCTTCACAGGTCTTCTTTGACATCATGCATATAAATCCTAATGTACTCAATATGTCTGACTATATGCCAGAACGTCAACCCACTGTACTGTATAACTTTCAGAAGTTGTCAGTTGGTTGACATTTCATTCACCATCTGAATGCTTCAGAAATTTGAATAAATATATGGGACTCAATACAACAGTATTGCATGAAAAAACTGCATATTTTTATGCAAACCCTAGATCTCAATTACATCTTCCTTGCCTAATGTCAGTTCAGCCCGAACTCTGATTGCAGATTATAGTAAAAGCTGTGTATAATGTGAAAAACTGTAAGGGTTCGTTAAGTCATTTTTGAAGGACAATTCCAAATGTGACGAAACATTTATTTTGACCCATGTATTTGTGTTTCTCTGTATTTGATAACTGAAACTTCATTCAAATGTGAGTTAAAAAATCAAAACCTCATTCATTAGCCCCATATTATTTTTGCTGTTTTGGCACACAGTTTTTCTATAACCCAAGAAAACAGGAACACATGAAAGGTTGCCTAGGATTTGAACTCAGGATCTCTCGCATACAAAGCAGTTATTTACCACAAGGCAACAATCATACCCATAAGATATAGGAGCAGAAATAGGCCATTTAGCCCATTGAGTTTTCTCTGATAATCAGTGAGATCATGGCATTTCTGATAATCCTCAACTCCATTTTCCTGCCTTTAATCTATAAATCTTGATTCTCTTTTTGATTAAAAATCCATCTCAGCTTTGGATAAACTTAATGACCCTCAGTGGTAACAGCCCTCTGTGGTAAAGAATTCCATGAATTTATGACACTCTGAATGAAAAATTTCCTCCTCATCTGTGTTTTAAATGTGTGACCTCTTGTTCTGAGATTATACCGTCTGATTATGCCATTTTTGCAGGAAGGTGGGTGGGAGGAGGTGTATTCTAGGTAGCTGTGGAAGTCGGTGGGCTTGAAATGGATATCGGTTTCTAGGTGGTTGCCCGAGATGGAGACAGAGAGGTCCAGGAAGGAGAGAGAGGTATTAGAGATGGTCCAGGTGAACTTAAGGTTGGGGTGGAAGGTGTTGGTGAAGTGGATGAACTGTTCGAGCTCCTCGTGGGAGCACGAGGTGGCGCTGATACAGTCATCAATGTAACGGAGGAAGAGGTGAGGTTTAGGGCCAGTGTAGGTATGGAAGAGGGATTGTTCCATGTAACCTACAAAGAGGCAGGCATAGCTTGGGCCCATGCGGGTACCCATGGCCACCCCCTTTGTCTGTAGGAAGTGGGAGGAATTGAAAGAGAAGTTGTTGAGGGTGAGGACGAGTTCGGCTAAGCAGATGAGGGTGTCAGTGGAGGGGGACTGGTCGGGCCTGCGGGACAGGAAGAAGCGGAGGGCCTTTAGGGGAATGCAGGTGGATAGGGACTGGATGTCCGTGGTGAAGATGAGGTGTTGGGGACCGGGGAATTGGAAGTTCTGGAGGAGGTGGAGGGCGTGGGTGGTGTCACGGACGTAGGTAGGGAGTTCCTGGACCAAGGGGGAGAAAATGGAGTCCAGATAGTTGGAGATAAGTTCGGTGGGGCAGGAGCAGGCGGAGACAATGGGTCAACCAGGGCATTCAGGTCTGCACTGGTTTGCATAGCACTATCATTAAGGTGATCATGCAGCATTACATTTGTGCTGCCTGTGGCACCTTGGCTAGACATGGGATACTTGCATGCTGAGATTCCTCTGTCTGCAAACAGTGCTGATCAAATGTTTAGCCCCCAGATTCTCAGCAGTTGCAAGAATACCTGTCTTTTTCCTGTGACATGATATGTTAGAGGGTGCACGATCTCTTCTTTCTATGTCTCGTGTTGTTATTAAGGTTAAAAATTTGACATCATCAATGACCAATTTGACAGGAAGAATAGTAAAACAGCATATTATTTAAATTGACAGAATATGCAGGACTGTGAGGTAAAAAGTGTGTCCTGGTACATAAATCATATAAAGCTAGAATGCAGGGCAAGCACATTATTAAGAAGGCAAATGAAATACTATCATTTATTTAGGAGTAAAAGATGATAAATTAGGGATGTTTTGTTACTGTTGTGTAGAGCATAGATGAAGTCACATCTGAAATACACTTTACAGTTTTGCTCTCATTATTTAAAGGATATAAATATATTGGAAATATATTTATGGTGGCCTCAACAACAGTCTATGGTAAAGAATTCTACAGATTCACTACACTCTGAGATAAGAAATTCCTCCTTATCTCTGTTTTAAATATGTGACCTTTTATTCTGAGATTATCTCTCCTAGACTCCCCCACAAGGGGAAACCATCTTTCTGCATTTACCCTGTCAAGTTCTCTGAAATCTTCTCTATTTTTGTACTCTATTCTCTTTGGAATAAAGGCCAATTATCCACTTGCCTTCCTTATTACTCACTGAACTTGGGTGCTAGCTTTTTTATGATTCATGTATGAGGACTCCCAAAACCTGTAGCTCTGTTCTGTAGCTTTCTGCCATGTTTCTCCATTTAAATAATATTGAGCTCCTCTATTTTTCCTATCAAAGTGCATATCCTCACACTTCCCCACACTACATTCCATCTAATAAGTTTTAGTCCACTCATTTAAGCTGGCTGTATCCCTCAGGTATCAGTTAGCTCATTTGGCTGGATGGCTACTTTGCAATGCAGAGGAATGCTTACATTATGGTCTCAATTCTCACACCACCTGGAGTCAGCAGGCAGGTCCTGCCTTCTCAACATTGCCCCTTTCCTGATCTGTGGTTACCCTCACGGTAAACCCACCAGCAGTTATCTCTCTCTCTCTCTGAGGGAACAGTTCTCTGGGACTGTGGCGTCTTTGACTATACCCCTTTTTGTGTCATCCTCACCATTTGCTTTCCCACGTATTGTTGGTAACCAACTTGGCTATAGTATATTTACATGCCTAATCTATGCCATTAATATGCATTGTAATTAATTTTGGCCTCAGCACTACTCCCTTTGGCACTCCTTTAGTTACAAGTTGCCATTTTGAAAATGCCCCCTTATCCTAACTCTCTGTTTTCTATTAGTAAGCCAACCCTCTATTTATGCTAACATATTACTGATTTCCTGAAAGAATTAAACCCAAGATACCACATTTTAAAGAAATTATTTTATCATATGAGAAACAAATACAGCAAACAGTACTAGCAAAATGCCATCAACTATAAACATTAAATTATCACATCTATATTACAGAAGAAGGGTAGAGTTAGTTACCTTAGGTGGCTGGGTGGCTAGTTTGCAATGCAGAATGATGTTAACAGTGCAAATTCATATCCTGTACCTGCTGTGATTACCATGAAGGGCTTAATTTCACAACCTTGCCTGTGATGTGGTTACCCTCAAGTGAAGTTTAACACCAGCTGTTTCTAATGAGAGAATGGGTCTGTAATGAGTATCATCACAGAAAAAAAAATCAATTACTAAAATTATTTACACTTTCAGCTGAACATTACCCTTTAAACATTGAATTCCACAGCCACTGTGCCCCACCCACCCCAAAAAATCTTTTGGGTACTTATCAGGCTCTTGAAAATACCTTCACTTCCAGGCAATAAAATAAAGTGCTACAACTCAGAAATTAACTTCAATTTTCCTCAAGGCTCCTACTATCTTTCAAGGTATGTGCTTTCTTGGGGCCATTTCACTAACCTAAGCATCTCACAGTTGTGAACACTCCAACTCAAGTGTGAACTTCAATGTATGTGACTCTACATCTTTGCTTTGGAGTCTAGTAACCCCAACTCAGAAATTTCTCTAATTTCTAATAACACCTCTGCATCTTTCTAGGTGTTGGAAGACTGTCTGGCCTGATTTGTTTTTTTTTGCAATAAGACAGAGAGCCTTTTGATGGTTTTAAAAAAAGTGATAGTATTCTCCAAATTATAACTGTCCCACCCCAGTGCTAATTCCATCATTTTAGTGGTGGGGTGGGGGTGAGTATATTCCAAATTGTACATCAGTGATTTCCAGATTCAGCTGCATATATAAGACTGCGACTGCCTCTAGTAAATCTACTTTTTTTCATAGTCAGACACAAGAACCATGTACAGATCATTCCCAGTAGGAGCACGCTTAAACTTCGAGAATCTTTCAGACTGGTAAGGAGTCCCTTTGTGATGTGGCCCCAACAGACATTTACCTGAGGGCACATACCCTTTGGAAAATGCATAGTGACCTTTGTAATAATAAGGTGGACAGATATGTGGATTTGTCAGTGCATAAACTAATTTAAACAGTCAAACTAATTGGTACCATTAACTGAGCTATCAAAAGAAATTGTTACAAAATTCCAAAACGTACTTTCAAATGAAATGATCAAAAGTATAAAACGGAACTGGAAAAGCAACTGTGAGAGGTTTCAAAAACAACTGTCAAGCTGCCAACACATTTAAAACCTTAACCTTTAAAGTTTGAGATAAACCCAGAGTGTAAAAGCAATTGCTTGCTATTTCAGTTTTTCTGTTGACATAAGCTTGAGAATTGTCATCACTGCATTCATTCTGTATGACCAACTTCAGAACATTCTATTAGCACAGTATGGGGCCTGCAATTTCACTCTTTGATTGACAGCTTCAAGTGGTTATAAATTCTTGAATTTGGGTTATGAACTCCACTGTTTGGAGTTCATAAAACTTGAATGAAGGATTTGATGTTATTAGAGATGATGCTGTTGAAGGAATGTTATTATAATTTTTTATGAATCAATTTTTTTATGAATGATAAATTTTTCCAACAGACATTTAGAATGTTCTTTTGTTTTATCTCATCATGAGTGCTGTGCTCTGTTCATGTTGAATAGTGGATAAGTTGGCATGGAGGTTTAAGGGCAAAGAGTGTTGGTGGAGGAGGCCTGTGTGGTTGGCATGTGTTGACACTAAGTTAGCTCAGGCCCTATAAAGGGCCTTTAGCGTAGTTAGGAGTGCATAGATTTGCACAGAGGCTATGAGGGGCCATGTAAGTTGGAAATGAGATGGCAGGGCTGAGGTATTGAAAGTGTGTGGGATGAGATAGTGTGAGTGGACAGGACCGAAAGGCTGTTTTATGCTTTCTTCTCTTTTGATAATCTTGAAGAATTCCAAGCAGGCCTTTAGTCCATCTCACCTCTGCACTGTTTCCACGGTCACCTGCCATGACTCGCAGAAAGTCAGGTCTGGCAATTTCTAAAGTTCAGTATTTAATTATCAGACACTCACAGAGGTTATCTTCCCAAAATGATAAACTATCCGAAAGTATTAATATGAATCAGGAAACTAGATTATTATGACAATGCTTACACAAAGGAAAGGTATGTTTGATAATTAATCCTTTTCAGAGTTTTCTAATTGCACTGATGATATTTTTCATTATGTATTCTACAGACGGTCACATTTCCCCGGCTCTGCTCATCAAACGAATGAAAAATGGAGCTTCATTTTCAATAAATTGTGAATATTCATCATCCCAAGGGACCATTGTGGGCACCTACATCAAAAGAAGTTTTTCCAATCCCATCGATTTGATCTATGTCCACCCAGAAAAGATTACAAAACACAAGTCATATGAAAAACGCCTTGAGTATAAAGGAGATGTGAAAAACTTCACTGTAACCCTCAACAACGTTCAGGAAAGTGACATAGGCATTTACTATTGTGTTTTTGGAATACGAAATAAAGAACTCATAAAAGATAGCTTTGGACAAGAGACAGTATTACTATCAGGTATGCTTTATGTTTCAAATCTTCATCTGCCATAGTTTATAGAAGTAAAGCTAATTCTAAAGAACAACAAATATACTGAAAAAATGGATATGTTAGCGTGCATGTCATTTGCTGTTTTCATTTGCGTTGTTTTACACAAAATCAAAACAACTTTCTTTTCTGACCATTTGCCCCTGAAAGACTCCATCTCTTTAAATGTTCAGCAGTTTTTAAAGCTTTCTTCCTGACAAATTGCTGAAGTGGTGCTGGCCATTGTATCGTAAGGTATTAACCCCTTGAAACTTATCAAAACAACCAACTTCCATGTCACACTGTGAATCCCAAAATGTTGCTGAGATCTCCTTGCCATTGATGACACAATGATGCTATTGTAAAAAATGGCAAGTTAGTTTGGGAATCAAAATTGCCCTTTCTCACCCTCTATTCAGACAGGGTTCTGCTGAAATTATACAGGTTTCAGTAACTTCAACATTGGTCATTGGTGAGTTTGGGATGATGCAGTGAACTAAAATGAAAGCCAGTGCCCTCTAACTCAGCAGAATGTACTTCCACTGGGATTATTTCACAATGTTGTGGTCTAGTGTCGGACGCTTCCAAGTGGATGAGAAAAACCTGTCTCTTATGAATTCTCATCTTCTAAGATTTACAGTAAAATTTGGAAGTCTGTACAATTTGCATCCCCGCAAGATGCAAAAGACCCCGTGACATTATTGGTAGAAGAACTTAAGAGTTTTCATGGTCTTCTTGTCAATATTTATCCCCAAACCCACAGCAGGAAACACAATGCTTATCTAGTCATGTATTTGATTGATACATATATATTATGTGCAAACTAGTGATCACATTTCATACCTTAGAAAGTTGATGATACTTCAAAATTACTTCATTGTCTGTAAAGTGATGTAGCATATCCTGAAGTTCCATCTGTGTCCCTTAATGTTTCTCTGTTACCAAATGCCCCATCTGAGTGGAATAAATAAACGTTTTCCCTTTTATGGTAGAAATTCATCTTGTCTTGTAAAAATTGATTTTCTCTTCCACCATTCCTGCTGAAAATCTGTTCCAGAACGTTATTACCCTTTTATTGGAAAAATTACTTAAATATCCTCTTTTCTTTTGGCATCCTTAATTCTCTTTGAAAAATAATCACAGAACAGTGATTTGTTGCTAAATTGAACAGGCTTTCTGTTCCAGTTTTACATACATGCATTGAACACTGGGTCTAAACAGCATGAAGTGGCTTTTACATAAGATCATAAGAAATAGGAACAGGAGTAGGCCACCTGATCCATCAATCCTGCTCCGTCATTCAATAACATCATGTCTGATCTTTTCGTGGACTCCATTCCGCTAACCCAGCCGCTTGCCATAACCCTTAATTCCTTTACTGTTCAAAAATCTATCTATCTGTGCCTTAAAAACATTCAACAAGGTAGTCTCATCTGCTTCGCTGGGCAGGGAATTCCATGGATTCACAAACGTTGGATGAAGAAGTTCCTCCTCAGTCCTAAATCTGCTCCCTCTTACTTTGAGGCTATGCCCCCTAGTTCTAGTTTCACCAGCCAGTGGAAACAATCTCCCTGCTTCTATCTCATCTATTCCCTTCATAATTTTATGTGTTTCTATAAGATGGTTCTCTTATTCTTCTAAATTCCAATGAGTATAGTCCCAGACTACTCAATCTCTCCTCATAAACCAACCCTCTCAACTCCGGAATCATCCTCGTGAACTTTGTCTGCACCCCCTCCAGTACCAGTACATCCTTTCTCAAGTAAGGAGAACAAAACTGTTTGCAGTATTCCAGGTATGGCCTCACCAGAGTGCTATACAGCTGAGAAAAATAATTATCACCTGCTTTAGTAGGATTTGAACCCATGTCATCAAAACATTAGCTTAGGCCCCTGGATTACTAGCTGACTGACAATATAACTAGACTATCACCTCCCCAACAGGACATTAGTGAATTAGATGGGTTTTTCCAACAACTGACAATGGTTTCATAGCCATTAGTAGATTCTTAATTCTAGATTATTTATTGAATTCATATTCCATCATCTAAAATGGTGGGATTTGAACCTGGGTCCACAGAGCACTGGCTGAGTTTCTGGATTATTGGACTAGCAATAATACCACCAGGCCATTACCCCACCAAATCATCATGTCAAACATTTACAGCATATCTTGTTGGAGATCTTTTGGGATGATGAGCAGAGAAGTGTACTCAGAAAGTTAAATACCAAATGTGATGTGGCATAAAGATACAACTAAATGTACCATCTAGCATCAACCCAGGCACATAGGAACATGGGAACAGCAGTAGGCCATTCAGCTCCTTGGGCTTATTCTGACATTCAACTAGATCATGGCTGATCTGTGGCCTAATTCCATATACCTGCTTTTGGCCCAAATCCCTTAATACCTTTGCTTAACAAAACTTTCTCTCTTTCAGATTTAAAATTAGCAACTGATCCAGCATCCACTGCCATTTGTGAAGGAGAGCTTGATCTGATGAAGAGTCATCTAGACTTGAAATGTTAGCTTGCTCTCTCTCCATGGATGCTGCCTGATCCACTGTGATCTCCAGCATTTGATGCTTTCAGTTCAAAAATCTACCACACTTTGTGCACAGAAGTGCTTCGTAACATCTCTCCTGAATGGTTTGCCCCTTAGTTATAGAATCCCCAACCGATGGAAATACTTTATCTTCATATACTCTGTCTTTCCCTGTTAATATTTTGAAGAATTCTAACAAAATACCTTAAATTTGAGAGTAAACAGGCCCAATTTGTGTAATCACTCCTTATCTCTAATTGTGTAATCCATCTTCATAATTAACCCTTGAAGTCCAGATATCATTCTTGTAGACTTAAGTTGTACTTCCTCCAAGGCTAATAACATAAAATAACAAATCCACACACAGCACAGTCAATCCCGTCAAGACCCCTTCACAAATATCTGCAGACTCATGCAAAAATTTCGAGATTTGCCTCACAAACTAATCAAACAACAGCCTGCTATTTTCTTGGTTACTTAGGTATGATTGCAATCAACATCTGAGATTCCTCTGTCAGCAACACTGGGTACATCCAGGGACAAAAACAAAAGTTGCTGGAAAAGCTCAGCAGGTCTGGCAGCATCTGTGAAGAAAAAGTCAGAGTTAACGTTTCAGGTCTGGTGACCCTTCCTCAGTCTTATTGACAGCATAGATGACAGAGGCCATCAGTTAGGGGGGTGCTTTGAACCTTGTTATCTGCTTCCTTGTATTAGCAAATGAATCAGAGCTCCTCCACGTTGAAAAGTACTTAAAGGAGCCATTGGGGGTGGCAAGGGCACAGAACGCTTGCTGACTGAGGGATTTCAAAATCCCTCACCAAGAATGGCTCAGCATTACCACTAATAGCCAAGCTGGCTGAGTCCTGAAGGACACATTTGTCAGGTTGGGCATGTGGCAGATTATGTGGAGGCGCTGGTGTTGGACTGGGGCAGACAAGGTCAGAAATCACACAACACCAGGTTATAGTCTAATAGGTTTATTTGAAAACACAAGCTTTGGGAGCCTTGCTCATTCTTCAGGTGTTAGTGAGGTGGTATCAAACACAGAATTTATATGTAAAAATCAAAGGGTCACACCACTGATGAGGATGTATTAAATAAACCTTAGATACTGTTAAATCTTTAATCAGAAGGCTTAAATTGATTAATATGTATATGTAAATCCCCAAATTCCTTTCAAATCTCTCTATCTCACACACACACGCACCCACACACACAGACTCACACTCTTTCTCTCTCCCTCCCACACAGTACACAGACAAAGACACACACACATGCACAGATACACACACGCACACACACACGCACACACATCCTCACCCTCTCTCTCTCTTGCCCCCCTGCACCTGACACATACACACACTCACTCTCTCTCTCTCTCCATCTCTCTCTCTCTCTCTCTCTCACACACACCCCCTCTCCCTCACATACACACACACATACCTAAAATGTCACCTCTTCTTTACACTGATTAAAACCTTTGGTTATCTCAGGGCAGTGACTTGAAAGAAATTCAGGATTTACATATACATATTATTCAATTAAAACCTTCTAACTGATAAAAGATTTAACAGCATCTTAGGTTTGTTTAATACATCCTCATCAGTGGTGTGACCCTTTGATGTTTTACTTATAAATTCTGTGTCTGATGCCATCTCACTAACACCTGAAAAACGAGTGAGGCTCAAAAAGCTTGTGTTTTCAATAAACCTGTTGGACTATAACCTGGTGTCATGTGATTTCTGACCTTGTGGTAAATTGTGAGAGAACCAATGAGGTCAAGAAATCTACTTGATTTCATCAAAAACTTACCTGTCATAGATGCATGTATACATAACAGTATTGGGATTAATCATCACCAAACGGTCCTAGTAGAGATGAAGTCCTGCCTTCACGCCCACCACTGGGTTGTGTGGAGTTTCCACCAGGCTAAAAGTGATAGGTTCAGAATAGATCTAGCAGATCATAACTGGCTGCCTATAGTCAGCATAAATTTGTGAATGGGGAATTGTGTTTGACTGACCTGTTGGAGATTTTTTTAAGGATGGTGCTGATGGAATTGATAAAGAGGAGTTGGTAGATGTAGCATACTTGAAATTTCAGAAGGTTTTTGATAATGTCTTCCATTGGAAGCTGGTTAACATGGGATAAAATGGAATATACTGACATGGACTAAAGATTGGCTAACAGGTAGAAAACAGAACATAAACAAACAGGTCATTCTTGCATGAGTAGAGCACTGCAAAGTTCAATAATTACGCCCCTGCTGTTTGCAATGTACCAATGATTTGGACATGGGGACCAACAGTAATAAGCTCCTCGTTCACAGATAACATAAAGCTAGATGGGAATGTGTGCTTAGAAAAGTGCAATGTGGCTTCAAGCGTATTTGGACAGACTTTTGAATAGCAAATAGAATATAATGAGGAAAAATGTAAGGTTATCCACTTTGGTAGAAGGAATAGACGGGCAGAGTATTTCACAAATGGCTAGTAATTAGAAAGTGTAGATGTACAAAGGGACCTGGGCATTTTTGTCAGTAAGTACTGAATGCTATCATGCGGGAGCAGCAAACAATTAAAAGGCTAATAGTAGCTTAGCCTTTATTGCCTTTATTTTGAAAGGATTTTAGTGAAAACTTCCATCAATTATACAGAATATTAGATTCCACCTGAAGTGCCGCGTTTGGTGCCCCTTACCTTTAGGAAGAATATTATTTATATAGAGGGAGTGCAAAAATGGTTTACCAGATTTGTTTCCAGGATGGAAGGATGTTTTTTTCTGAAGAGAGATTGAGGAAACTGGACCTGTACTCTCGATAGTTTCAAAGAATGAAAGATCATCTCATTAAGCCCTATAAATTTTTAAAAGATAGATATTGTAGATGCAGGGAATATGTTCCCTCGTTGGAGAGCGCCGAACAATGGTGAGCAATTTTTAAATAAGCCAGAAGCCACTTAGGACCAAAATAAACAGATTATTTTTACTCTCATAATTGTGAATCTTTGAATTTCTTTACCCCCAGAAGGTTGTGGTAGGTAGTCAAGGAGTATTTTTAAAGTAGTGATTGACAGATTTCTAAATACCAATGATGCCATTTCAGAGGGCAATTAAGAGTCAACCACATTGCTGTTGTCTGGAGTATGCCAGACCAGGCTTTCTTTCCCTCAAGGGCTTTAGTGAATCAGATGCGTTGTTATGATAATCAACAATAGATTCATGATCATCATTAGACTTTTCCTTCCATCTGCTGTGATGAAATTAATAATCCATTGACAATGCCACTCTACCATTACCTCATGACTATCGATGTAACCATTTGATAAGTGGAACACTTGTAAAAATAAAAGTGACAATAAATTACTATTAATATTATCAGTTAATATTAAGAGTCTAAGAAAGAGAATGAGAGTGAAATAATTGGACTGTAGTCATGTATATAGTGAGAATAAGGAGTTGAAATTATGTTACTATGCACATGTTCACATTACTGGTAGAGTAGAACAGATAGGAATTACCAAATGGTCTTACGCTAAGAAGAATGAGACAAACCAAAACGAAAGGCACGGGACCATTTGGAAGGAGTAACAGGAATACAGAGTACTGGGCTAATGGTAAGATTCTTGGTAGTGTGGATGAGCAGAAAGATCTCGGTGTCCATGTGCATAGATCACTGAAAGTTGCCCCCCAGGTTGATAGCGTTGTTAAGAAGGCGTACAGTATGTTAGGTTTTATTGGTAGAGGGATTGAGTTTCGGAGCCATGAGGTCATGTTGCAGCTGTACAAAACTCTGGTGCGGCCGCACTTGGAGTATTGCGTACAGTTCTGGTCACCGCATTATAGGAAGGATGTGGAAGCATTGGAAAGGGTGCAGAGGAGATTTACCAGGATGTTGCCTGGTATGGAGGGAAGGTCTTATGAGGAAAGGCTGAGGGTTTTGAGGCTGTTTTCGTTAGAGAGAAGAAGGTTAAGAGGTGACTTGATAGAGACATACAAGATCATCAGAGGATTAGATAGGGTGGACAGTGGGAGCCTTTTTCCTCGGATGGTGATGGCTAGCACGAGGGGACATAACTTTAAATTGAGGGGTGATAGATATAGTACAGATGTCAGAGGTAGGTTCTTTACTCAGAGAGTAGTAAGGGCGTGGAATGCCCTGCCGGCAAAAATAGTAGACTCGCCCACTTTAAGGGCATTTAAATGGTCATTGGATAAACATATGGATGATAATGGAATAGTTTAGGTTAGATGGGCTTCAGATTGGTTTCACAGGTCGGCGCAACATCGAGGGCCGAAGGGCCTGTACTGTGCTGTAATGTTCTATGTTCTATGTTCTATGTTCTATGATGCAGAACACCCTCAAATCAAACCACTATCCAGGATACAGCAGTCCATTTAAGTTGCACTCCATCCATCACCTTAAACATTCACTCCCTCCACTTGCGACTCAGCAGCAGGACCACCCAAAAGTGCTAGGCAGCAGTTCACCAAGGGTCCTTTGATAGAATCTTCAAAACTCATAACCTCTACCACCTAGAAGGTGGGCTAGTGGACACATGGGTAAGCCAACACCTGCGCGTTTCCCTTCAAGCCACACACTATTCTGACTTGGAACTATATCGCTGTTCCTTCATTCATGCTGGGTCAAAATTCTGGATCTCCCTCCATAACAGTAATGCAGGTATCCTTAGGTCACATGGCTTCTCTCAGAGTACAACAGGACCTTGATTAGATGGGCTGGTGGACCAAGGAGTGGCAGATGGAGTTTAATTTAGATAAATCTGGGGTGCTGCATTTTGGAAAGGCAAATCGGGGCAGGACTTATACACTTAATGATACGATCCTGGAGGATTGTTGTACAAGGAGTGCTGCTGAACAAAGAGACCTTGGAGTCAGGGTCATAGTTCCTTAGAGTAGAGTTGCAGGTAGACAGGATAGTGAAGAAGGCATTTGGTATGCTTGCCATCATTGGTCAGTGCATTGAGTATAGGAATTGGGAGATCATGTTGCAGCTGTACAGGAAATTAGTTCGGCCACTTTTGGAATACTGCATTCTATTCTAGTCTCCATGCCATACCAAAGATGTTGTGAAACTGGAATGGATTCAGAAAAGATTTACAAGGATGTTGCCAGGGTTGGAGGGTTTGAGCTATGAAGAGAGGCCGAATAGGCTGGGGCTATTTTCCTTGGAGCATCAGAGGCTGAGGGGTGACCTTATAGATGTTCATAAAATCATGAGCAGCATGGTGAATAGCCAAGGTCTTTTCCCCAGGGTAGCAGAGTCAAAAACTGGAGGGCATAGATTTAAGGTGAGAGAGGAAATATTTACAAGGGACCTAAGGGGCAACTTTTTCACACAGAGTGTGGTGCATGTATGGAATGAGCTGCCAGAGGAAGTGAAGGAGGCTGGTACAATTACAACGTTTAAAAGGCACCTGGATGGGTATATGAGTAGGAAGGATTTAGAGGGATATGGGCCAAATTCTGGCAAATGGGACTAGATTAATTTAGGATATCTGGTCAGCATGGACGAGTTGGACTGAAGGGTCTGTTTCCGTGCTGTACAATTCTGTGACCGTATGATTCTATGATATGGACTGCAGGGTTTTAAGATGTCAGCTCACCACAACTTTCTCATGGGCAAAAATGGATGCACAAAAGTTTTGGCTTTGCCAGTGATGCTCACATTCCATGAATAAATAACAAGCAAAATTTAAAGTGCTCTAACAGATGCAGAATATATTTTTCCCTTCTGTAAAGGATGCAGAAAAATTACAAAAATGAAAATAATTTAATGACAATATGGAGGTATTATATATGGAATTCTTTTCAGAAAACAATGATATATTTTGTATCTTTTCAGAGTCCAAGTTGAAAGACTGTGAAACCGAGTGCGCAGAAGCAATAAATTGTGCAGAACTTTTATATAAGGATCCAATCATGATTGGTGTGATTATCACTGCAATAGTTGCTATCATTTGTGCGCTGATTATGATACTTTGGCATGTAAGTTTCTAATTTCTTTATAACAAATATTTCTGATATTTTATATGTAATTTTTCTGACTAAAAAGGGAACCTGAGAAAGTGCCTTCTCTGAAGTTGTTAGTAAAAATATGAATGCACTGGAGAGAGTACCAAAGTGATTTACAAGAATGGTTCCAGGAATGAGAAACTTCAATGATGAGGATAGTTCAAAGAAGTTGGGACTATTCTCCTTGGAGAGAAGAAGGCTGAATGGAGATTGCAGAAAGGTTTTTGAAGTCATGAGTAGGTTGGATAGAATAGTTAGGGAGAAATTGTTCTTGCTTGTAAACTAAAAAGAAATGTGAGGAAACACTGTGTGGAGTTGGAGGAACACAACAGGCCAGGCAACATCAGAGGAGCAGGAAAGCTGACGTTTCGGGTCAGGATCCTTCTTTCTGAAGAAGGGTCAGCTTTCCTGCTCCTCTGATGCTGCCTGGCCTACTGTGTACCTCCAGCTTTACACTGCGTTATCTCAGACTCCAGCATCAGCAGTTCTTACTATCTCTGAGAAATGTGAGGACCTAGACAAAAGGTGATGTGCAAAGGAAGCAACGATGTGAGAAAAAACTTTTTTACACCATGAGTAGTTTGGGCATGCAACGCAGTGTCTGGAAATGTGGTGGAGCTGGGTTCACATAAGGCATTCATGGGGGCATTGAATGACAATTTGGACAGAAATGATGTGCTGGATATTGGGGAAAAGGCAAAAGATTGGCACTAGGTAATAGAACAAGTGCAAGAATAATGGATCAAATGGGTTCCTTTTGTGTAGAAACAAATCTGGGCTTCTGGGATACTGGATGAACAGTTCATAGTCTGGGAGCATAACTATAGAATTTCCCCTCTCCTCAGAAGCTTATTGTAGGCCACAGAGGGCTCTGGTTCTTGCTTCTAAGTCAAATAGCCTGGGTTCACTTCCAGCTGTCATATGCGTGTTGTGCGTGTCATAGGATGTCTGAATAGGTTGACTAAAAATAACTACACAAGCCCACAGAGATAAGAGTATGAACTAGGGCAGTATTACCAGCCACAGAACAATGCGCATTCTGTTTCAAGTGTCATTTATTTTCCATGCATCCATGTAACTGAGTGATTCTCAAATATTATCTATCTTGGAGACACTGTCTGAATGTGGTCAGATTTTTGGCTTCTCGTTATTCTAATTTCTGAAATAGAAAATGCTGAGGCGATATTAATTAAGGAGAATTCATTAACAATTAGTAATGATATATAGAAAGTTAATTCTGAATGAACAGCAGATATGGAATCAGCCTGATCTGCAAGCTGTAGAGTCCTCCACTTAGAAATCTAAATGAGAAAGCAGAGGAATACAATTTCTAAGAAGTGATTTTGTTTTTAGGCAAGAAAAAGATGCCAACCTGAGAAGCCAACACGTGGGAGAGCTCCAAACTCAGTATATGAAGACATGAACCTAGTGCGAACTCAAAGTGTGGGACGTTAGTTATCAGATGAAATGTGTTGACTTCACATCAGGTCACATTAACCTGGAGTGTGGCCAGTCTTCTTCTTTTATTATTTGATAATATGTTTATGTGCGGTAATAAAATTGTACATTTTCACACTCTTTCTTGAAATATACGAGGTTTGATAAAGTATGTCATTTGTTTCACCTTTTGCCTGCTTTGTAGAATATACTAATTGTAAAGGTATTGATGGAAAAGCGCACTATTTGCTTGGGATGGGGTTGCTGAGGGTTAGAGTTATTTGTAAAGCTATTTTATCATTAAAATATTATTTTTCTCTCTTCTCACTTGCTGTTAATTGCCTTCAGTGTCTTCATGCTGTTTCATTTGCAAGAAAATGAAAAAAAAATGCATGTAGAAGCAAATTATTGCAGAAGCTGAACTGGGGCTCTGATGAAGAGTCATCTAGACTCAAAACTTTAGCTTGCTCTCTCTCTCCATGGATGCTGCCTGACCCATTGTGATTTCCAGCATTTTTTGTCTTCAGTCAAGAAAAGCACATGGTCCTGTTTTTAGGCTCTATCAATGCCACACTTCTACTGTGTTACAGAAACAGATTCTTGACCTGGAGGAACATCTGAACTTTAATCAATGTCTCTAATTAATTGTACAAGGAATCATATTTAAACAATTACAGGATTTGATCGTGTCTCTTGGTGGTTAGATGGTGTTTATGTATCCGTATTGTCCGTTTTCTTCCGGTATGGCCGAGGTAGTGTTTCTCACTGTCCTTGCATGGTATTTTGTATATTACACCAGTTTTGCTGGTTTTGGGTATGGGATCCTTTACGTTCGTCAGTAGCCGTCGTAAGGTTGTTGTCAGTTTGTGGGCTACTCTGATACTTAAGGGTCTGAGTAGTTTTGTGGTCATCTCTGAAATGTCCTTGATCTATGGTAGGGTGATTAGTGAGTCAGGTCATATTGTGTCTTCCTGTTGTGGTCTCTCTCGGAGGTAACAGCAGATTGTGCTTTTTGGGTATCCATTCCTTCTGAAGACTCCGTATAGGTGCTCCTGTTCTGCTTTGCATAATTCCGGGTTATTGCAATGCGTTGTGGCTTGTTGCAGCTCCGTTTGTAGGCGTTGGGTTGGTTTCTAGTGTAATTGAGTATTTGATCCATATGTGCGGTCTTTCTATATGCGCTAGTCTGGAGTTCCCTATTGTTTTTGTGTTCTACCATTATGTCCAGGAAGGGTAGTCAGTTGTTGTTCTCTTCTTCTTTCATGAATTTTATTCGAGTAAGGATGTTGTTTATGTGTCGGTGAGTTTCTTCTGGTTTTGTGCGTTTAATAATCACGAAGGTGTCATCTACATATTGGACTCGAAGTTTGGGTTGTATAGTGGGGAGCGCTGTCCATTCTAGCCTTTGCATTACTGCTTCTGCAATCAGTCCTGATATTGGGGATCCTATTGGTGTTCCATTGATTTGTTTGTATATGTTGTTGTTGAAGGTGAAGCGGGTTGTGAGGCACGGATCTAATCATTTCATGGTGGTATCCTTTTTGGTGTTGTTGGTGTCTTGGTTTGCCTGCCTACTTGATTCATCTAGCAGTGTGTCAATTGTTTCTTCAGCTAGGTCGATGACAAAGGAAAAAAAGAAATGGAACATAGATGTCATGCATGGGAGTCCCTTCTTCAGTAGAAACTGACATGGTGTAATCGCCTATATCTTTGAGAATACCTATTGCCAAGAGGAAGCAATGTCAGAGATCTCGAGACCAAGGACCAATGCAAACACCAGAAAAGCCTGCCAAATGCATGATCAGAGATACAGCTCTAGGACTGGGCTCATCAACCACACAAGGACACATAGAACCCATGACCAGTGACACAGAAATCCCTAGATTGACAATTGTTCTTGTTAGGATGATTGTCCTTGTCCTTGTTGAATTCTTCCATTCTGCAACTTATATACATGATAATTGTAGCATCTTTTCTCAGCCTTCCCACAATTTCCAACTGTAACAGTTCCTGATGTTTATTCCCTTCATCTACAAACTAATAGCTTTTTAATTCTCTTCACACTGCTTCTAAGAATCGACTCAGCCTTGTTAGTTCCTTGCAATTCTTGCTTTTATGCTTTACTAGGTTTCTTTATCTAAATAAAATGGCTAACTCTCAAAGACAGCATGATATTAAAGCAACACCCTATGGCACTATGTATGAATTGATCAGAAAGTGTCTTTTCACACTTTTTACAGTGCTGTATAAGCCTAAAGCAAATTATTATGTTCTTAATATCTGAGAAAGAGTAAAAACTGAATTATGAAACAAAATCTCGATTATCTTGGGGGAAATTTAGCCACCTGCAGTTATAAATCAAAGAATTCTGCAGATGTGCTGTTGAAAACAAGATCAGGAAATTTTGATATCAGTCTTAACACCTCAGTATGATGTTTGAACTAATCACTGAATGTCAGCTCTAGCGTATTGTCTCAGTTTTGTTTCTTTGTTAATTTGCTATATAATTTCCTTTTGTTTAGTTTACAGTATCTGGAATATGCTATTAGTGTCAGCATCAGTACATTTCTATGATCATTTGTAACTATCTTTTCATATTAATCATGTTAAAGTTTAAATGGTGTTTTAAATTACATTCAATCTAACTTATTCAATTTAGAATAATCATATTTAAATATTGTGATGATAACAAACGTAAATATGTTTGTTAACTGTTTTTCTATCAAATGACATACTTATCTGCCAATTAAAGTTTTAGCAAAGACCTGTAGCTCGGGTTGTGGGTGAGGTTGTTGACTTGCTCACCGAGCTGGCTTGTTTTTGTTCAGGTGCCATAATAGCCCAAGCCAAACATAGACACACATGGGAATTCCAAGAGGCATGGTTCTCCACCCATAATGCAATCAACAAACGTATAGAATTGGACCCCGTATACAAACCCATACAGATCAAAACTAGAAATGACACTAGTCACCAGACAGTATAAATTCCAAGCGGAGTAGAATAACATCGCTTCATCGGAGGCTCCACTGATGATATCACCTAGCCTGGTGTCAAAACATCTGAATGAAAACAAGTCAGCTCAGTGAACAACTTTATGTGCCAATTCCACATACTGTTCCCAACAATTAAATGATCTACAGTTTCTCTCTCCATCTGTTCCACTGCAAGTCCAGCCACCAGAAAGAGGGAGTGTGTGATCTGACTTTCCTGTTTTGTCTGATTTTTCTCCCATCATATTGGAAACTGTTTTTCATTCACTCAGTGCCTCACCTAGATAGCTCACTAAGGACCCTACATCCACTTTTTGAATAACAATGGCAAATGTGCTTCCAACTGCTCTTCAATAGAATGATTCTTTGATATACTGTTGATATCTTTATACCAAACACAGTGAACTGACTGCAAATGGCCTAGTTGTGTTATTGCTAGACTATTAATCCAGTGACCCCGCAATGTTCTGGGATCTTGGGTTTGAATCCCATTATGGTAGGTGGTGAATTCAATAAAAATCTGCAATCAAGGATCTAAGGTTACCATGAATCATTGTTGGGGAAACCAATCTGGATCACTAATGTACTTTACGGAAGGAAATGTCTCATCCTTATTAGATGTGACCTACAGGTGGCTCCAGCCCCACAGCACTGTGAGTGGCTCTTAACAAACCTATAGACAGTTAGGGATGGTCAATAAATGTTGGCCTAGCCTGTGAATGAATTTTTTAAAAAGTCAACTGAGAACTTTCTATGCATTTGGAAGTTGGTTATTTTACTGCATTTTCCAATTCAAATCGAAAATGCCTACTTGTTTTACTTGTTTTATCTAGGTACTCATCAAAAATACGAGCGTTCAAAATGGAAAATCTTTGTTCCTGGGTAGGGAACAATCATTGTGTTTTATCAACATAGAACATTGATTGATTTAGTTTTGTTAATTTTCATACTGAGGCAACAAATGTAACTGGTAAAAATTGAAACCTCAGTGTTTCATGGGCTTTCTTTTTGCAAAGGCGATATTCAAGGTTCACTGTTGAAATGGCAAAAGCAAGTGTTCAACACTGTGGTTTCCTTTTCCCGTCAAACCTCATTAAGGTGACCTTCTTTAGCTAGCGCAGTGCTGCTTTCAGTTTTCATACTCGTTGAAACCTAAATTTGTGTAAAGTACGTTTATAACAACATCTTGCTCTGTCAAGTTCATTTAACATAATAAAACATAATAATAAAACAGAGGTCAAATTATTATTTTTTAAAAAAAGCTGAACACTGACTAATGGTGCAAGATAGCAAATGGGTTTCTGAAGACAAAAAATGAGATGTTTCTGAAGAGGCTGTTTTGCAGTTATGCAGTCTGGCAGAATTGTGTGGTTATGCAAATAACGAAGTTAATTTTTGACTTCACGTGTAGCAAGTTCATTGGATTACATACAATTATCATTTATGTTATCATCACCATCTAAAGGTAAAAATCAACTTCATTTAACTTAGACAGATTTGGGCTAGTTCATAGCTCGTTCTAGTTTCTTGGTTTGTGAAAGAGGTCGCAAAAAGAATTTTGCATCTTACATGGAGTTTGAATGGCTTTGCTGTATTTACAAAATTTAAATAATGCTACTTTTGTTTTTACATAACTTCTTTGAGACTTTTGTTAAATTTCATGATCAGTGCCTGCTCACTTCTCTTGTCAATGTTATTATTGAGACACAAAGAACATAATAGCTAGAACTGCAATGATGGAATGTTCCCTTCCCTGGACAAGTACAGGCAATGATGAGAAAGTTGGGAAGATAAGGCAAGAATGAAAGAAAATGTAATCTCAACATCAAGAAAAATAACCCAAATATCTCTATAAACTTAAAATAGTAACTTTAGGATCTCACTAATGAACTGTGACTACCTTCTTTCCATGCATTTGCATCTGGCTCCACTCACCTCCGTTCTAAACCACATCCAATTCTCCTCTCTCCATGTAAGAAGCTAAACAATGTCAATTCCTGACATGAAAATCATATCAGAAGCCTGGTGGCTGCAGCTCACTGAATGTCTGTCCCGGCCTTTATTCAAATCTGTCCTCACAACAACGAACAGATCTGCTGCATGAACACTGTGGAATATATTTGTGACATTTCAATCTACAGCCACATTAAAGAATTTCTTTACGCAGTTTAAAAAATCCAATCTGCACTCAAATTTACCATTGAAATAGAGCAATCAAACAAGACCTCTAAAAAAGAATTTTGAAAATGAATTGCTGAAGTCCGGTGCGCTGTGGCAACAGAGAGATTTGTGTATGAGAACCTTTTAAAAATAAACTCCGGGCCAGGAAGGTCC